TGCGGCCATTCTGAAAGGGTTAATGACGTTTGTAATAAAATAATTGAAACAGCAAAAAAAAAATAAAAACGTTTTAAAATAGCTGCTTAATGTAAAATTACTCACATTGCAGCTATTGAAATAGGTGTGATTTAATTCAAATCGCCATGTTTTCCGTTGTTGAAATCGAAATGAACTTCATATTTGATCTTGTCATAAATAGGAAAAATCACATTAATATCAATAAAGTCTATTAAAAGTTTCGATTGTAACATCGGATTTGGCACTCAGAGTGTAACAGAACGCCATGCATTAGAAAAAAAAATGTATTTGTAAAAAAATAAACATTCTTTTTCTACAAATATGTATAATGTCAGTAAAGTTGACCTGGTAGGAATATTTCACAACCAAAGCGTTCATATTGTACATAAACTTATATAACTATTCAATTTAAGCCTGTGAATTTCATCAAGTCGCCACCAACTAATCAATTAGAAGAGCATCCAGCATAGGAGCCATCAACAAACCATTTTTGTCGTCACTATCATAGTATAAAAATAATAAATAATTTTTTTTTTGGTGATTTTTACAAAATGAAAATGTCATTGCTAAGTTGTTAAAGTCAAATACAACACAGTGTGCTTTTTAAATTAAACGTTTTCATTGCTAACCGCTAATAACTTTTGGAAACGAAATAATTTTATAGTATTGTCAAAGAACACAGAAATGTTATTTAGAATCATCCGAGACTTCACTTTCCTCTACGAAAAAACTGTTATGTAACGTTTTTATAAAATGGTAAATATTGTTATATAATTATCATGGGCGTTCATTATACAACATCTATGTGATACTCATAAACCTATGCCTTTTCCATGTTTATAAGCGACATATTAAAGGTTACCAGTTATTTTTAAAATAAAAGAGTTATATTAAAAGTTGTTATATAGTAGGGTTTATGACAATTTTCAGAGCGTTTATACTGCTTGGTATGTTCTCCAATTGGGTCCAAATCTATCTATCTATCTATCTCTATCTGTGATATTTCTTTTTTGAAACCAACTCCCAAGAGAAAAGTGCAGAGTGAAGTGAAAATGTTTAAAATGTAACTCTCTCAGTTACCTAGAGATTTATAGGATGATATGGAATTTGAAATACCCTTTAGTGTCATCTTTTGTGGTATTTTAACGGTATTTTTGGAACAACGACTTATTGACTTTTATTGTGTTTTCTTTTTATTAATAAATCGTTTTAAATATGAATCCATAACTGGAAAGTTTCCTATTTTATATGCCGTATTTTATATGGAAATTTTGGGATGAAAATTTTAAACAGGATATCCTACCACTAACCAAATATTATTTTCATGTATACAAGAGAATCCACACATACGTAAAATAGTATGGGTTATGGAACCACCATTTTATTTCTTTATATCTGGATTCTGCTATAAATTTTCTTAAAGTTGCTGGCGTAAATAATAAATAAATAATCAATGGCAGAATTCCTAAGAAACTCCTTTTTGAAGCACTAGTTTAATTAAATAATTAATAAATTTTTTTTCTGCTCTATTTTTATCTATTTCCATTTTGCAAAAAATGTACGAATTAAAACGTTTTCTGACAGATACTTAACTCTTGACGGTAATACAATCTGCCAAAATATGTTTAAAATTAAAGCCAATTATGGATCGATTATTGGAAATTTATTTACGGAAAACTTATATAACAGAAATTATCGGCCAAAATCAGCATTTCAAGCGTACGGTCGTGTAGAAGCAAGAGTACTCGTCATCCGTCCTAAAACATTAAAATTCGCAGTTTCGGGTGTAATAAAATGTGTTTTCTAGCCTTTAAATTGAATTGCCAGTGAGCATTGTCGCGAATGCATTTTATCTCCGACACACAATGTCGATATGGCCGGGTTTCGAGCTTGTTTCGAGATTAAATTTAAATCTCTTCCACACTACGCGTCGGCCATGTTGCTGCGTCGAAACCCAGTCGGTCGCCAAAGTATTAAATCAATTCCAAACAACGACAGAGCTAGCCGGAGTTTCCTGGTATACTGCGGCTAGCTATGCGCTATGTTCCGGGTAATATATACGAGGAACCAAAGTTTGATTGGCACTAAATTGCATTTGCCTTGCGCACATATTTTGCGAAAGTTTCCTTCCAGATAGTCGATCGTTTGACCCCTAACAAGATGGAAATTATTTTTAAACTTATACGATTATCGATAGCCACAAAAAATATACTTTATAGTATATTTTTAACAGCCAGTACCAGTAGGCAAATAGACTTTGACAAGATGGAAACCAAATAAACAGTTTTGAAAAATAAGCATAGCTCACCCCCATGTTTTTGATGAGTATTCCAATTTATATGGTGAGTTACCAAGGTCTAAAAAGAACACACCTCAAAAATAAGTTCACAATCTCAAAATTTTACAACTTCGAGAGAAGACACGAAGTTTGAAGGCAATAAATAGTTAAAATCAGTGTACCAACAGTACGGATCGAAAAAATTATTAAATTGGAATGTTGCACGTGGGCATGACGTGCATAATCTAAAATAATTTTCACGTGGTTGCCTAAAACAGTAAGGCTACTGCTTTTTATGCTTCTACAATTAGTTAATTAAATATTTAATTTAATTGGTTAATTTTTAAACGATGAGTTATAATTTTTCGAATTGTCTCTATATCTTTCATATATTTGGGATACTGTGTATAAAGCTGGGGATTGTCTTAACGTTAGCAGTAGGACCAAGTGCAACAAAAATATTTGCCAGAGTACGGTGAACCTAGAGTATATACCAGTATACAGGATGTCCAGTATAAGATGATGAACATGGCGATATTCGTAAAAGATACAGCGTCCATTTAATGGAATAAAAATCTAGCTTTGATTTATTTTAAGTCGACGCCATTATTTATTTATTATTATTATTATTATTATTTTATTATTTATTATTATTATTTTATTATTAATTTCAGTTTGAAGAGCAATGCCTGTTGTCATTGCTCGGTCAAAAGCGAATAGTATTTTAAAGCATCATAGATATCATCCTTATCGTGAATCGCCATGCCACGGACTTCAGGATGGCGATACTGTTACAAGAATGGCACTCTACCTCTGGTTTATTCAGAAAAATAAAGGGATCAAACTTTTTCTTAGAAATCCTTTAATCCGATGAGTGCTGTTACTAATTGTGGATTCATTAATCGTAAGAACACCGCATTTTGAACAGATGTAAGTCAACGGCTCGTGACGTGGGTGTTTAACGTTTGGTTTGATATTTTGGGTACCCACAAAATTGGACCATATCTATTCGATGACAACTTAAATTCTGAGAGATCTTTAAACCTTCTACAAATATAGACGTAACAGAAGATCTTATGAACCTACAGCAAATGTTTTTTCGAACGCGCACAGCCACACAATGCACAGATTGTTCCGAGCTTTATAAATGCAGAATTTCCCAACAGGCAGTTAGGCAAACTGGGACCAGTCAGATGATCTGCGAGATCTCCAGACATAACACCCCTTGATTTGTTTGTATTAGGTCACCTCAAAAATATATTTACAGTAAGTCCTGTGGAATCGTTGGAGAATTAAGAGAAGTTGTTACTGAAGCTGTTAACAGTATCACTCCGCAAATACTAAAACACTCTTGTGAAGGAGTGTTGAGAAGATGTATGTTATGCGTCTAACAAAATGGAGGATTACTTGAACACTTACTCTAATTTTATTGTAAAATTCTGTGTATTTTTTTCGTTTTTTGTGAATTAAAGAAGTAAACAACCCTTAAAGGTATGTATGGAAATTTTAGTGACTTCTTTTCTCGATCCTCCCTTTTCAAATGTATTGACTGCTTTTTTTGCATATTGCCAGCTGTTTCAACCGCCGGCACACCATTAGGTCACCCAAATTTCAAGATTGCGAATTTATTTTTGTGGTGTGTACTTTCTAGGCCCGCAAATACTAAGAATTATGGGCAATATTTTATATGTTTTACCTTATTTTATTTTATTTGCAACTCTCAACTGAAAATTCATTTACTGAGTGGGGAAAAACAGACTTATAACAAAAATATAGCACTTGTTCCTTGATCCTCAACTGGGTTATAGATGTTACATGCTCTGCGACATACGTTTCAACTAAGTCTCGCAAGTCATATGGTTCCTAACCAGTGAAGATAGAGCCAAATGAAAATTTAGTTCAGGTGCGTCATTTACTGAGCAATTTATATAAAAATTATCAATCTTTTAAGTGTCTTCCGTCAGAAAGGGTCAAGTGAAAACCCGTTCTGTCGCACGAAAACCAAAGATATTTTTTAAATTTATATATTTTCAATTGTTTGGATGGCATATTCTAAAATAGAACATCTAACATGAAAATAATAAGAGAACGTAGAGTTTGATGATGAGGATGATGATACTAAAAGTTTCTAATTTGATGAGTTGTTTTCACAATATCGAATACGCGTACCACTACAAAACATATAAATTGACTTGGTCTGGGCAGAATCACACCATAACATAATTCATCACATTGCGCTTTAAAGAGAAAGATAATATATTACATGTATCTACATTTACATTCCCACCAGTAGTTAATTAGGTTTAAATTAATTAGGCTGGAGTTTCAAGTAATCCGTATTACAGTTTCATCTGCAGTACATGGGAAATAAGAAAAATCTGGGGAAATGTTGGATACTTTACGTACAAATTTTGGATTTCCAACATGTTCATTTAAACCGATTAAAAAATAAGATACAAAAAAAGCTATTCAAGGGAAACATTAATTGGGCCCCTTATCACTACAACACAAAAGAGCAGATATACAAATTTAAATAAAACTAACATTTTAAAATAATAAATTCCGTTCCCCAATTTAAGCATATCGCAGTCATAATTAAATTTTACAAAAACGTAGACAAAATACATCATCCCGAATTGTTCTCGTTGTTTGTTGACTTTAGAAGGCCATTAAATTAAAAATAAATAATGATAATGCTCACCGGAGGCTCTGGTTGCCACCCAACCGCCCAGACTCGAGAACTCGTAACTATCCGGCTCGTGACCCGAGGTGTAACCTAATTTGGCTAACTCCCTTTCGAGATCTTGGCCGATAATGCCGCTTTCGCAACATACCACCAGGTTCTCCTTGTCTAGCCATAAGATCCGATTCATCTGGGAGGTATCCAGAGAAATGATGGTTCTGGTTTCCTTCGATGGACACTCCACGGCTCCCGATACGGAAGTTCCACCTCCAAAGGGTATTATCTGAAAAAAAAAAACAAGTTATGGTTATAATACAACTTTAGGTAACGATTTTCAATCAAAAATTAAGTGCCATGGAAAAAAATTCATGGATTAAGTTCGCTAACTTCAATAAACCAATTGTAGAATCAGGATTTTATCACTGGAGGGATAAAAGTTACGGTTTTCAAAAACCGTAACTTCAAGATGATGTTCAGCAAATTTTTCGAAAAAGAAATTAAGTTTCAGGCAAGAATTAAACATGATGAATTGGAAAGAAAACACTTATGTGCCCAGAGGAGGGTTAAAAGATTCGGGTCAGCGTGGCGTGGCCACGAACGTCATTTAAATTTTATTGCACACAAGAAATCAAGTAAAACGGAGCATATGACCCACGAATTATTGAATAGATAAAGTTTCCATATATACCATTAAACATTTTATTACGTCCTCTTCCAAACGAAAACCTATTAAATAAAATTTATCTTTAAACAACTGCACCAACCGAATTTTTTTTTTAACAAAACCAAAACTACCAGCCACTCGATTGTCATAAAAAATATTTTTTTAATATTTGTAATGGAGACTTACCACCATATCGTGTGTATCGGCAATTTTGACAAGTTCCACAACATCTTGATGACTTCTAGGCCAAACGACTACATCAGGTATCCTTTCGAAAACCGAATTCCTCAAAGTGTAAATGTCTTTCAACGTATGCCCGTGTGCGTGGACCACCCGATCCGTTATTTCGATGGAATACGATATTCTGACATTGTCCAGTTGCACCAATATTTCTGGTGACACTTTAGGTGGCGAGTAGTCTGATTCTATGGGCAATTCGCGTCCCTGAATACCAGGCTTCGTCAGGTCTATATTGAGCTGTTCAGTGCCGAATTTAATCAGATGCGGTAATCTTAGTTCACCGATCGGATACCTGCAAAGATAAAACCATCTTAAAGTTCCATCCATGGTGTCGCCGTAGTATAGAGGCAGCATAGTTTGACGACCCGTACCCCTCTTGATATTTTTATGATATACACGGAGTTTCAATTTCATACTTTCATTATTTACTCGTTATGAAAGTCATTGGTGAAAGTGGAATAGACATCCTTGTAATAATAATACGACTGTAATAATTACAGAGAAATAAATCTTCTATGAGCAGCAATGAAACAATATATCCTGGACAAGGCCGGTGACCGGTGAGAAAATACCATGGAAGAATCTCAAAGTGGATTCAGAAAAGGAAGAAGTAAAACGAATAGCTTAAAAGGCAATAAGATAAAGATAACTAAATATATCTGGGCTTCATTGATGTGAAAAAAGCGTCTGATAAAGTACCAAAAGACAATCTGTGGAAAATACAAAGCAACAATGTGATAAACAAAATAAAATTTCAGAGCCATTCACAACCAAATCAGGATTAAGACATGGAGGAGGACGAAGCCTTTTGCTCTTCGCAGACCATATTGATAAGTATAGGAAGCAAAAAGACAAAAAATAAAAAACCTCGGAAGACCAAGACAAACATGGAACGGAAAAGAAGCGACAAAATCATCATCAATCATAGATAAGATGAAATTAAAAGTAGAAATGAAGGATAGCAATTGTAATAACCCAAAACCGTTATGTAATGATAACAATGGTTTTTTAGTATTTTTTTTATTTTATTTTTTAATGAGGTCATCAGTTTTGTTCCCTAATTTTTTTGAATCGATCTATAATTACAATTTAAGGGAGTCTATCTTCAAGGCGTCAGCGGTGTTGCTTAAAACTAACGAAAACTTTTTGATTCTATACTTTATATATTATATATATATTACATAATTGAATAGAAGCGGAGTACTTACTACAATAATGTTTTTGGAGGTAACTCCATGAACTACAAGAGGTGTAAAACGACCAAAAATATAGTGCATTTATTGCTTTGAAGTTTTAAGTAATTTACAGTACCTTAACCGCAGACCCTCGCAGGACCGTGATAAAACCCATCCCAACAGATGTTTATTCTGCATTAAGTAGGTCTTGCCTGAGATGGACCGTAACGAATATTTGTAGAAACGTGAAATTTTTAATTGAAAAGTAAATGGACCGTTTTAAATTTTATTAAGCATTGATGCTGCGGGATATTTACGAAGTAGAAGCGTTTATTTTAACATCAGGTGATATGTATTGTTCTTAAGAGTTTAATCTAAATTGCAATATGTTGGTATATATTACGGAGATAATTGACTGTGATCCTTCCAGTAAGTACATATTTATGTACCTGATTCTCGAGCGTTATCCCTGCTAGATTCTTTTCACTGTACTGGAACGTTCTGTATCCTTTAAGACCACCAATTCTTAATTATAAATAGCTAGTTTGAAATAGTTGACTATGTTTGTTGAATAGAACATGTCTTATACGGTTGCAACCTCTAACTAACTAACTAATAAGTATAAAAAAAGCAAGAGAAGTGTAAAAAATCAGCAAGTTAAAATTTCTTATCGCAGAATCTGTTCGATAGGGGTAGTTACAGGTACAGCAACTTATATCACACTATCAAAAAAGTTGGCTACAACATCATGTTACTAAATTTATTACCAATCGAACAAAAATATCATTATCTGCAGCTTGAAATTACAGTGTTGTCAAGTTTATTTGACTTTTATAATTGATTGTTAATCAATTGGTTTTTGATTAGTTTTTGTTATTATGTTCGTTGTTTGGTATTTTTCCTCGTTTTTAAATCTAGGAATCTTGTATAATTAGCGATTTAAAATAATTCTTTTAAAAGCGGTTGTAACGATAAGATGCCAAATGGTTAAATAGTCGATGTAAGGAAAGAATGGCCTTTATTTCCCGCAACTGGTGTTAGAGAAGTGAGTTTTAATCAGTTACTTAAGTTGAGGTTCTAACAACATCTGAAAGTTTTGACGTGAGTACAATATCTAGAGTATCTAAGAATAATACTAAAATCTCCTTCAAAAAAGCGTGGTTTTGGCAAGATTGAATACTGTTAGATTGTTAAAAAAAATTACATTTCTGTCACAGCTTGACAAGAGGGCCAATTCTCTGATTTAATGCTTACTGGATTTTGTATTGGATAAAGCTTACGTTCGAACGTTCTTACGAATTTTTTTTTAAATTTTTAGGGAGTGCAGAAAGCGAATTGTGATTAGGATTCGCATTAGCTTCTTTCTGCTTTTAATTTTATATACGAAGGATATTTCCAAAGTTCTGGGAATTGTGATTATTGGTGCTAGACAAGTCTTGACATGTTAGCGCAATAGTATTCATTCTGATTTATTTGTTCGATTAATATACACGAGTTTTCATAGCATTGTTTTTGAACTCTGGAAAGCGCAGCGAAATCTCAAAGAACAAAAATTGTCTTTTTGTCAAAACTAACCAAAACATCTGATATTATTCAGCGTCTTGAAAGAGTATTTGGTGAGTCTACGGAATCTAAAAGCACTGTTTATTGCTGGATTGATCGTTTTAAAAATGGTGGAACATCACTAGAAGGCGAACCACGCAGTCGACGCCACAACACTTTGGAAAATGACAGAGAGCACGCGAATAAATATTTCTCAAATTAGTGTGCGCATAGGAATATTTACAGAACAAGTTCATGACATCTTAATTGTTTAGGGATTAGCAAGGTTTTGACGAGCTCAGTGCCTAAGCTGTTGGGACCGGAACAAAAACCAAACAGGCCTAATAATACTTATAGTCCACTTCAAGAGCTGTTAGCCCGTTAAGGTAATAGTTTTTAAAACGAGCATTCCTTATTTTAATCTTGATACCAAAAGTCAATCCAAAAAATGGCGCAAAATTTTGAGTCAATATTGGAGTAAGTCTGGCCCTAACAATTAATGCATACTTGCAAAAAAAAACTTTTTGACAGCCACAATTCTTACTACAACCCGTCTTGCAGTAACAGAAAATTATATTGAGCAGCTTTTCTGGATCAAGCGGGAACAGAATTTGAATTGGCTCCAAATAATTATCTGTATCCATTATCCTCATTCTTCTTGGTTCAGCTCATTGCCTAGCCACACGTGAACTTGATAATATACACGATACAAATGCTGACAGACAAGACAACTGTACTGTTTTATTGTTCCATGCAGATTTTAAAAACTTCAGATGTCAATATTTATCTGTGCAATCAATTTTTTTTGGAGCACCATACATTCCCAGAGCAAAACGAACGAGTAACGATGTCGTGTGGGGAAGAGACAATCTTTGTAAATACTTCTGCGCAATTAATTAAATCATTAGGTTTTTCGAACATTTTAAATACTGCTGTTGCACCTCTTTTAAAAATAAAATATGAGCTTGATATTTTGGATATGCAGTCAAAATTTGTGATGAATATATTGTTGATTGTACTTGAGCTTTCCCAGATTTCAGAAAGTATTTTTTTTTCATGTTGAGTCCGTGCAGTAAGTAGTATCAACAAATCAACATCTTCCCCAACAACGACAATTGTACTTGAATTTTTCCATTGTTCTATTGCTGTTTCAATTATAAGGACATCAGTATCATTATCAGCTTGTTTTATTGAAATACCAGCAGGTGTAAATTTTTCACTTAACATTGAAATGAAGCGCAAGAAATTGTTGTTGGTTTGTTGGAACTTTCATAGATCGATCACAAATGATACAAAAGATGAAGATGTTTTTGTAGTTCAATGACGTTCTGCAGCTTTAATATTTTTCATATAATTAGTACTATATCCATAGTTTCTTATTTATATTTATATATAACGTCCATGAAAAAAAAAGTAACTGAACAATTTTTGTAGAGAATTGTATGATCTATAACTTTTGTCTGACCTATTTTCACGATAAAACTTACCGTTTTCGTGAAAAATGGAAAAAAAGTCAATTTTTTTAAGTTAGACCATGAACAATTTTTTTTGCACAAGTCAAATCGAACGGGATTTTTGACATTTCACATACAATGGTGTATTTAATGTCTCTGCTAATTTTTAGCTCTATGCGAATTTTGTCTAGGTCAAATGTTTATTTTGACTGGATTAATTGTTCTAAAAAAACATACAAACAAATTTGGTCGTAAGTATAATATATACATTAGTAGCCTTTAAATAGAGCGTATATGAGCTATGTTCACATGAATTTACATGAATCCGATACACTCTGTATATTTGTTCTACCGAAATTATTTTATTTGACAAATTTTGATTAAGGAAGACACTGAAGTCTGTTGAGGTAATATATTGTGGGATTGTGAAGGGATTATTTTGTACGGATTATCTGGCAAAAGATACTACTAATTTATTATCCATACACTTGCCAAAAATAGCCTACAATGTTGCATAAGTGTTCGTTACTCCACCAGGGTAAGGCAAAATCACACATCGGGAGAAAAACGAAGGTTAATTTGAACGATTTACGATGCTTCCACATCCACCTCAATTCCAGGATCTTACACCCAGCGATTATAATCTGTTTCCAGATCTACAGAATGTGCGATGGACTGAGGAGAAAATGAAAAAGTTGGACGGCTTGAATAAATTTTGGAAACCTCCCTCGTATTTTTAATGTGGTACGTTTTTAGATTTTGGATCGCAACGACGCTCGTTATTAATTAAAATTTTTCCGACGCTGGAAAAAACGAATTTCACCCTCACAAACGACGAGGGCGTTTTTATTCTTTTCATCTCGCAAAACGTCAACTCGTCAGAGATATTTTAAAAGGCACACATTTATGTTACAGAAGACGGCGGTAGCAAAAGTTTTTCATTTGAAAAACCGGCCAGATTGCAGCCAAAAGGCGGGAACGCGACCCATTTTTCCCTGTTAAATCTTTTTTTTATCGTCCCCGAGGACCGGTTTCGGATGTCCTTATCTTTTCGAATAAATAATAGAACGAATCGACCGTGGAGAGGAATATGACAGGTAGTCGTCCGCTACTATTATTCGTTTTTTCTCAAAAAAAAAAAATAAATAAAATGCGGAAAGGTCATTTTGAAAATTGAATTCTCTTTTAAAGCCATTTAGGGAGATCTGGTCCATCATTTTTTTAAATGGCATTAAATGTAAACCCAAGTGGATAAAATGACCGCAAAATATTCACTTAACATAAGAATATATAACAGTGGATTATAATGGTTATCGATGGTATTTAATGGTATATCATAAAAAATATTTGCGTTGAAATGGTTCAAAACTAAATGAAACTTATGAAATATACTTTACCAACGTATTTAAGATATCGTTTAGTGTTTCGGTGTGATATTTACAATGCCGCTCTAGCGACGAAAAACATTCTGGATATGCCCCAGCATAATTTTTGAAAATGTCATCGCAGCTTTAGCCATTAAGCTTTATAATAATTGTAATAAATATTTGAATCCAGTTCAGTAGAAAAAATTTAAGGTCCATTTATTGGAATTACAATAAGTTTCTCTCCTAAACAAATTCATATTTTACCAATAATGAATTTTTAGACGCTTATCATTTTCATAGCTTACATCACATTACATTGTATTAGTATTAAGTAATTTTGTCTAAATATTGCGCAATATTAATTATTATTATTATTATATTATTATTAATAAATAATTAATAAATTAATAATATAATAATTATTATATATTATTATATAATATAAAATAATAATTACATATTATATATAGCATAATAATAATTATTAGTTATTATTTTTCCTGTTACTATTATTATTATTATGTCAAAAAATCTATTTCCTTTCCTTTCCTATTTATCGAAAAGTAAGTCCCTGTCTATTATTTTTTGACCCATAGTTGACCCAAATGTTACTACTACTTAAATGTGGTGGTGCTGAGGCACCAAGTCAAGGAATTTATATTAAGTTCAGTTATTAAGTTACGGGAGCCAAAAGGCTAAAACATTTTAATTTTTCAAGAAGTTTCCTGACATTCAATTTTCATTTGCAATTTACGAGCTCATATGCCATTTAAAATGGCGCCACTGAGATTCTCGATATTTTGTTTGTCATAATCATCAAAATTGACATATCGAACAACCTAACATGACCACTTTAATAAAACTACAAGATAAGAATAAACGATCGCGCTGTAAGGGGTTTTGTTAGAAATTTTCATTTTCCCTGGAATTGGAGTAAAAATTGCATTGTAAAAATTGTAATTGTAAAAATGATTTCGAATTGCATTCCTTTTCATTATTAATAGTAATTCAGAATAAAAAACATTACTATCGTTTATTTTTTATTATTCATTAAAAAAATCTATTTTTTTACTATGAAAAAATTTCTTGTCGATTGCTGACAACATCAAATAAAACTATTTACATTCAAAATCTACAAAATATTAAACGTTTGATTATCTTTTCCTTGGTTCAATGTTGAGCTACGAGAATATAAAAAAAATATATAAAATTTGAAAAAATGAGAATAAAATATGAATTAACACGCGGACGAGTTATAATTATTTCGTTTGACTTCTTTTCTTACTTAATTTATTTAACAAATAACTCACCTTTTTCCTGTGAAATATACGGCGTCATTTTTATACACGAATTTCGAATCCTTGTAACCCCATCCGTTCCATTTCAGGAGTTCCTGTCTAAAGAAAAAATGAATAAATTATTTTACTGATATGAATATTAATAAAACAATATATTTTTAATATAAATGTGTAAACAGAAAAAACAACGGATCTGATTTTAATGTCATCAGCTAATGTCTTAAGTAAGTAAGTAAGTAAAAACGGTCCATACAATGATTTTTCACATTATTAGAGGATTATGCCTTAGGTGACATTTTGAAGGTTCCACAAAATGACACGGATCATCACAGGAATAAATACATCTTTATTGATTTTTTCTTCTAATGTATAGTTTTTTTCATTAATTAATAATACCTTTTACAAATCTGGATTCCTTCTTCGTAGGTTGTTGAAAAATTAAATTTCTTCAGAGCTCAACCGAAATTGATTGATCAAACGTCAGCAAGTTTGACAACCGACGTAGATGGAAGTTTTGTAAATAGTATTATAGCAGCCTGTGAAAGTTTATTTGATTAGTTAATGTTCAAAAAACATAACAATTTTAAAAGTAGTATTTGATAAAAATTTTAAGGCTTCCAGTGAATGATCTGATTTTTAAATACTGATTAATAAATTATTTCAGATATCGGACGGAAATTAATTATATACGAAGAGATAATGTTTTTTTTTTAATTATAATTACGGTTTTCGTTCTATGAAATGTGACACTGCAATACATTTTTTTGAATTTCGTTCGGTATTTTTCTTTTAACAAGAAAACGAATACGCTACAAGCATCAACCCAAAAAGTCATCCGCAACTGCGTAGAATCCCCCCCGTGCAGTATATAATTTACGTTTTTATTGATGAATATTAAATGACGTTTCGGAACCAGACAGAGCCGAAGCTCCTTTAATTATCTCGCTTCATACTTAATTCATGAGTAAGCTCCTTCGGGATTGTTCTCAAAAGATGTTCTGGAACCCTTTTTATAAGGCACGGGAATAATTAAGCTCGTTCCGATTTAGTTTGGCGCAAACAATTTTTTTACTTTGTTTATATTCGAAACCTTTGATTAAAATTTAAAAGAGGCAAAGTTCTTCAGCGCTCTAATTAATTACATAACCTGTTGCGCAATTTTCGTTATCTATTGAAAACAGTTTTATCGCCTATACAGGGTGTTCCGAAATTAATGCACCAAATTATAATAGAGAAATTTTGTACATAGTTTAAGCAGCAACAGAGATTTTTTCATGTGAAAATTTATGGAATGTATGGAATCTTTATCGAGAAAACTGGTGCGCCACTGTTGTTTCCAAAAATAATAAAAACAACTTTTGAATACCCAACTCAATTAGGAATAAATTTGATGTCTTTATTTTTTTCCCAACAAACATTTTGATGCTTGATGACAAAAATGTTAAACATTAAAAAGTAAAGTTACTGTTAACAAAAAGTAAAATTAATGAAGGTCAATATTTCCAATAAAAAAATGTGTTTTGTTGAGATTTGGAAATTATTATAAGAAAATATATTTTTATAGAATTTCAATATTCTATATCTAGAAAAGATAGTGTTTGGGGAAATTTGTCTATATAGGAGATCAGGGATTTCTTTCGACCTAGATTATGCATTCATTTCGGAACAACCTGTATATATGAAGTATTAAACCTCTAGGCGGTCGAAACAGATAGCTAAAAATTATCGACTGTTTGCACAAGTCCATTTGTACTAATAAATTCACACAATTTACACTAATTTATTATGTTATGTATTTTGAAGCTAATTTCATGGGCGTTATTGGAAGAGGTTTTTCCAGGCACTTTTTTTAGTGTTTACCACATATTATCGCTATGATTTTTAAAAAACAGTTTCCAATATCAATTATTAACCAATTGCAATGTATCCAATTCACGGTCAGTTTAAACAATAGAAGTTAGTTTCAGCCGACATTTATTCGGTTCAAAAAATAATTAAATAATTAAAAATAAATATAAGCTAAGAAAGTCAAATTATATCGGAATTTCAATTTCAGGTCGATTTAAAAAATATCACTTGAAAACTTTGTTTAACCTTTTCGAATGCTATAAAATGTTATAATGTTATAAAATATTTTCAATTACAAAAAAAAAATAGATTCTGAGCACGCAGGCGTTTTTCATGGCTCATTAAGTCGAGGGTACTTTTGTGGTATATATTAATATAATAAAATATTAACATACAAAAGAATTGCAACTCTTTACCTCTACATTCACATGTTTTATTTAATACTCTTAATTCATCCCTCTATAAGCAATTTAAAATTGTTTGATATCTAGAATAGAAACAAGGAAAAAATTATAGCAATATATTTTCCTAAGCCACAACACCGCTACCTCATACAGTGATTAATAATTAAAAAGTGAAATAAAAATAGCAAATTAACTAAATGTGTAAAAATCTTCATCTCGTCCGCATCCACCATACTGTCATTTAATGTCGTATCACGACTAATAATTAAACACAAATTTCATTAATTCTACGTTCTGGCGAATGTATGCGTACCGCTCCCTCATCGCTTAGAAGCAACCTATTTAAATAACGGAAGAAATTCCCAGAAAAAAAGAAAGTGAAGTAAAGTGCATTCATGTAAGTCATTTTCGCGGTACTACCATTATTCAGTACCTCGTACAAATTAGCATTAGCAGGATTTAAAAAGAAACGAGATAATTTTCAACCTTGAGCAGACTGTAATTCGCATACAATGCGTAAATACGAGTATTCTATTTCTAAACGAAAATAATGACAAGTTCATAAACACCCAATTAATGTAATCATTACCAAGTAATGCTCATTGCAAATTTATATTCGGGTGTTGTGGTTATACGCGATTACGCGTAAAATCTATCAAAACTTGTGGAAAATTTACCTTGACATTATAATTTACTTCGAAGTTTATTACCGAAATAACCGAAATTGCGAAATAAAAAAACAACAATGGTCAATTAAATTGACGATGGTTATGGGACTAATAACGAACGCATTTTAATAACTTTTCTCATATTTAACGATAACGATTGAAAACGGCAAATAGCATCGTAATCTTGATAAGTTGGCGATTTGCGAAAATTCAGGCAAACATGCCATTTCTTGGAAGCTACATCGGTTTATTTTCTCGATTCTTTCAAAGATTAAATTTGGTAGAAAAAGTATAATTGTAATTATCATTAATAAGCATATTGACAGAACGTAACTATTCTACAGTATTGGAATTTGGAACAGATTAAGCTATTTGTTTATTACTATATAAGTATTTAAGCAAATTATAACATGCTATTAAAACCTAATGAATTGCTCAAGCTGACATGTGAAAACAAATTTAAAGTGACATAATAATTTAGTTCCAATTAATTTAATTTTTTTGTAAGACCTGATGTGCAAATTGATGGGAATTGCCGTTGAATACATGGGGATTCATGGGTAGAGTTCCCCAAACGTTATACCGTTTTTACGACATAATCCGTTATTTAAGTTTGGTAAATGTTTATAAAGGTCTCACCGCAGGCTGTTTCTCTTTGTAACCCTCAATAAAAAAATTCGCAATTTCACAATGACGTTTGAGAACCATACTTTGGTAGTTCGTGCATACAAATGCTGAAGGCTGGCGGATTTGTGTATATTTTCATGTGTGACATTCCTCGATTATTATGGTACACGCGCTGAAAAAATGGTCCCTTCTGCTTTACAACAGGGTTGTAAAAACGGTATATCATCGGGAGAACTCTAACTGAACAGACTTATACTAATAATGAATGGGTGAAGATATTTGATTGATTTTGTCTTTTTTTTTGGATTATAACTTTAGTACCTACTTATAAAAAAACAAAATTTGGTGAGCCATTCTTACTCAGTGAGCCTCATCGAATAGTTGGTTTAACGAAATCCAAATACAGGTCATAAAAATACTGCAAGTAAATTAAATTTTCAAATTGCCCTATTCCAAATTTGTGGAAATTAAGTTTCGCCTTATAATATTCATTATGGGATGGCAAATAACAGAATCCCGAAATTAATCAACTAACCAAAAGTATGATTTGGTTAGTTGCAGGTGTAGTATACGCACTAATGGCTAATGGATTATCTTATGAGCTACCTATGAGAACGATTTTTTAATAATGAAACTTGTTCAGCTAGACGATTGATGCAGGGCTCAGGAAATTTAAATCTCTTAAAAATAACTGTCTGAACCGTTTCGAACGAAAGAAAAAGAAATACAAGTGTCAGACAAGGATTAAAATATTATAAAAACCGTTTTGGATATTTAGACTTCGTCCACAAATTGCTTTAGTTTTAAAACATCATATCAAAATATCGTGTGTAAGTAATTAAAATGAAATGGAGGAATATAGCAAATTATTATCGAAAATATCTTAAAAGAAGACAAAATTTAACAATTTTTCCGAATTTCTAATAGATATGTTATTGTTAGAAAATAACATATTAAATAAGAAATATCCTGTGATTGGAGAATTATTTGTTTAATTCAACAATTACAAAGGATGTTTTTGTTTTAAATTAATACAATGTTAATGTTCTTACGTTGTTTATAAATGTTTTTCAATATCCCGAGTCATTTTCATTGTAAAAAAATAGGTTACCTTAGAAATAAGTAGGTAGGTTTATCAAACAGGAAACAAGTACTTTTCGCAAGGTCTTTAAATGTATCACACGATTCGCCGGAAATGCCAATTGACAACGTAATTTTAAAATTTGACTTTGCAAAATACAACAGTTGTTATGAAATCATACTGATTTCTGGCATGTCCTTTGCCATGCTAAGAAAACATGAGCAAAAGATCTTTAACAATGTACCCACAAACAGCTTTAGAGTAATAAGCTAATATCTCGAGTATTATTGGCATTTGTTGTTTTGTTTTAGTTATGATAAAACCACGCAATAAAACAAAACTGAGAATGAAGGAGTGGGCGTCAACAGAGGTAGGATGGAGTCTTTCTTTGATGCACCAAATAAGCTCTCCAGGTCCGTATTCTGGTAGTACTTACCAGTATATAGGACAAGCCATTTAAAATACCTACCGCTGTTCAAAGTTTAGAATTTATTTTCGATTTTTCTACTTTGCATTTTATACTCTGTGATGACAGAAATAATATTTTTTAAAAATACATAAAGAAAGGTGTACTATGAATCGAATTCGTGCAGTCCGGTTGGCCATTTTGTAAAGGAAATTTATGGTCTTTCTAGAAGTTTTATCATTATGACTGATTATTTCGTCTAGGCTTAATCAATTTACAAACGAACTATCTAAAAATTGGTAAGGCAAGGTAAATTAACTCGAGAGAATTTGTAAAACGAGTCTGCGCAAACATTCTTTTTTGCATTTTTTTATCCACTTAGATCATTTAATTTGTTTACTATAAAATTTACTCGACAGAGTCCGGTATTAAATACTTTCCGACGTTCTTAATTAATATAAATAACGAATTTATAAAAAAATCCAAATCATTTAAGTTGTCTAAATTGTTAATGAAGATGATAAAAAGTTTGATATGAAAAAAAAAATCAATATAGTTTTGCAAATCGATGATGCTGTGTGGATATCTCCTGAGAAAACTCTCCGACTAATATAACGGATTATTAATTATTACCAGTTCCATCATAATCCTATGAATTGAGAAAATACACAATAAATACATCAAAAATAAAAATATCAAACGTGCCAACTGTTTTAGCGTCATAGACTGTAGAAGAGTATAGCATAAAACAGATCCATTCAAAATATGAAGTGAGTTTGAAATAAGGACATATTATTAATATTATTATTAATGTTATTATTATTATATTTCATGAAGGTATCCTAGATTCATTGGGAAATAAATACTTTAATATCCACCTCCCCCTCGGCTAACGTCAAGGTATTTAACCGTGACATTCAACTAAATGTTTTCAGATAAATTTATTAAGCAACGCAATTTTGGTTTACGTATAAATTCAAGAAAAAAAGTGAAAACAAGATTTTCAGAAACAAAACCGTTCCGTCAGACAAAAATCAACGAAATAATTTATTAACGCGTATCTAATAATTATAATCCTACTATTTGAGTTACAACTGATAAAGAATTTAACAGAATTAAAAACCGCATACCCACCCAGCCACCAAAGCAAGGGGTAAAATAAGGTGAAATCATCGAATGATTCATTTTTTAATAGGTTACTAAAGCGATAAAAAACTACACAGTGCTAGAGCAAACGCAAATCCTCCCCAAAATATCGATCGCATTTAAAATATTCCTATAAATATTTTATTTTGAGAAAACGGGGACTTGTTTACATCTGGGAACCGTCAATCTATAACCGCAGACGGGAGCGTAAAAAAATCAATATCCGGGCGTCTCGAGAGATGCGCCAAATTTAAATCCTTTTAAAATTAAAGGAACGCTTTGCACTAAAAAATGATATAACGCCTACCTGTGCTTCGGGATTGCACTTTTCACGTTTATGGGATAATCACTTCGTTTTCCTTGGTTATGGACCGGCATATTCATTCACTAAAATTAGAACTGACACTTTCGAAATTTATCAGAGCGTTAAATGAGGTCTAGTGCTATAATGACTAGAATGATTCGAAATTACGCCAAATATATTTTAAGTTACCCACACATGGGTGTAACTAATATTATTGCAAAATATTTGTCAGGAAGGGGAATTTTCAGCTTCTAAGCGGATCGACGGCCCAATCACGACGCCTCGCTGCGCATGTGACTTTTTCAGGTAAACTTTATCAGCTGGCTGAACCTACTAGTCCTATAACCAACAATACACGCGGATTATGGGCACAGTATTCTAAAGTGTAGGCAACATTGCCAATTGAACTCCCCGTCGTTCTACGATTTTTTTTGTTACAGTTTATTTCATTGGCAAAAAATATAGTGTAGTTATTATTATCATATTAAAATCCACTAACCTACACGCCTAGGCCTATTTGTAAAAAGATACGGACTGGTCAGTTTGGTTAGTCAGTATTGTTGCATTTCAGGTTTTTCCTGCAATATACCTAATAAAAAATAATTTACTATTTCTATAATTTTTGCTATACTCGTTTATGGGTTCAGAAGTTGGGAATCAACTTATATTTTTTTACATTTAACAGCAAGTTTGGCCTACACCTGCCTAATCTCAGATAACCCGACAACAGCGCAAACGGTGACGATTCAAAATGGCCGTTCGGTCAGTGTATTATTATAAATTATTTTTATTTATTATTAAAAAATGTCGTTTGTGTTTTGTGTGACGAATTTTTGTGTGTGATTGTATCTTAATCGGATATGGGAACGACTGGACATAGCTTGGATACTTTCAGCATAGCTGGTATGCGCTTATCTTATTTGTTTTTATCGAAATTTGTTTAATTAATGTTATCTTAATTTGAGATAGTGATTCAGAGTATTTGGTAGTATGGTTTCATAATTATAAGCGGGATGGGTCGTAAGAGCAAATCCCATCAAGTCCGTAAGTGTTTACACGCATTAATGTTTGATGAAACCTAACCTCAGTTAAAAATTAAATACATGTTCATTGGATGACATGACTAAGATCGGGCATTATTTTCAGAACTCACACAGGAACAACAGAGAGTCCTTATAGAAATACGAAGAAAAAAAACCGAATTGTTGTTGCAAATACAGGTAAGTTTCAAAATGTCTTTTTATGCCGCTGGCAATTTTTATGAGGTTATTATAATAAAATATGGAGAGAAGTTAGTTATTAAAGAAAAAGTAGCAACTAAGTTTGCACTATGACCAATGTTTGGAATTAAACATTTGAATTAATTAAATTCTTATATGGGATTCCAGTCCTGATCCTATACAATAGGAAAATATTGCCTGGCGCATGCACCATAAAATGGCCATTTTTATTTTAATATTTTTAGACACAAGGTTTGATTAAATCAGTCCGCATTACGAAATTGTTTCATCGAGACTGCTACTAATAAATTTCTTCATTAAGTTAAATAGTCGACCTGTGGGTTTTCATTGTTTTTTTCTATTTCTATTTGATTTGCTATTATAAGCAGCGTGGGTTAGATCTGTAATTGGCGGGTAAAAAGTGATTCTGATATTATTCGCTATTTATAGATCCTGGAATTTTACTGATTAAAAAACTTTTCCTACGTATCGTGTAGGGGTTTTTCCGCGAAACTCCGTTAGAATAATCGAAATTTTCTGACGTTCTTGGAACGAATAATTAAGGTTTTATTGGAAAAGCATGCGTTGATGTTGTCCGTCATAGTCTCGATATTAGATAAAATGACATCATCATCTACCGACTTTTTTTTCTTACCATTCCTGATCACCGATACGGATTGTGATACTGGGTCAATTACCTTTACGCAAGGTAAAGAGAAAATTAATGAAAACCTCAGTTTTTTCTGATTTTTCTGATGTTTACAAGGCAATAAATCTGAATCGGACAAATTGGTGACTGCTAAATTGCCCGTTGCTATTAATAAACTGGATCGTTTTAACAATAAGACAGAGCATTTCCGAGTGATGACGTAAATTATTTACCTTTCATAATGTCTACTCCCTTCTGTCTGTCCATTGAAAATATCTTGCTTGTAGTTATACTCACTCTGTAGCTTCCGACATATCATAATGTGATCATGTTATATTAGAATGATTCGTATCGGAGTTATTTTGTTACTTCTAATTTCGAGAAACTTTAGATGGTCAAAACGTCAATACTCATTGAAAAGCGGATAATGTTTTTTTGGTATGCATGTATTCCAATATGCTTATTACGGTTCGAAGTATTTTAAAGTTACTACAGTGTAAATGTAGGAATTAACGAATTCTAGCAAATGTTTTATTCATATTCAATTTGCGACTTGTTTTATATTCTATTAAATTGAAGGTATTGTACAAGTGGTGAGGAATATGGCAAATTTCATTTGTAACAGTTTGTAGATAGTCAACATAAACATTTGATGATTGCAGAGTCGAAGAGTTTCAGGTTAATTATCCGCCATCTTCTGGATCTTCTTTTGGTTAGTTTGGTATTTTCAGTCGATTATATTTACTCAAATTGCTATTTGTAAGGCTTTTGGTAATTTGTTACTATATCGTCACGGGGATTAAGCTTCAAAAACCTTTTTTTGCAGCTTGTCAACTAATTTCGTTTTGATTAATTAGTTAGTTTGGTAATTATGGTCGCGTTCTTTGTATGTACACTGCATCTCAAATTCGTTTGCTAGGAATCACCAATGTGATACTCATCCAAATTTTTCATTTAAACAGGTTTTCTAGTGGCCAAATCTGATGTGATTATTTTGCATGGACTGGCGCTATCGCTGTTTAAAGAAACACGTGCACTTTGCGTAAGCTCCTATCGTTTGGATGACACTAAAATATCTTCAAACTCGTTATCACATCTTGTGCTACTTTTCCGTTTTATTACAATGACAAAGATCGCTTTATTTACATTACCACGTCAGCTTCCGACGTTCGAGTTTTATTTTATGGTGATATGTTGAATTTAAAAAAAAGTCAAATGCTTATGGCATGGATGCTTGCTATAAAACCGTTTAAAATTAAGAATCTTACACCATAGCCTTTATTGTTAAAAAGGTGAATCTAACTATTCGTAATTTTTCTGAGAATATTTTGAATGGTAAACATTTTGTTAATCCAATTAAATTCGATAATTTTAGGACATCAATTAAAATTACTGCGTTTTTTACCATTATGGTACACTTATGTGAATCTTAATTACTGTGAAAGGAAAATTGTGCTTCGGTGTTTACAAACTTTTAATTTTTTTTTATTTTGGCAGTTTCCGAGAGAAAAATACATGCTTACCCTAAACTTAAAGTTTATTATTATTATTAACCCACCACCGCACAAATTATGGATACATTCTAGAATACTAAACTCTAAAGTAAACATCTGCTCTTAATTTTGCAATAACTTTATGAATATTGTATATTGTTGTTTTATTAGCAAAAATTTAAAATCTTTTAATTAAAATAAAGTCACTTGAACCGCGTTGTCAGATTTTCCTTGAATTAAATTTTCTCCTTGTACCGTGCGTTCAATTTATCTTGATAACATTTTAATTAGCTGTAACTTTTGTTTTTAGAGATGTCAAGGTAAATAAAAAAACAAAATGTAGGGTTAGCAGCCAAGCAAGTGACGTATAAAACAAAACACCAGCAATTTTCTGACATATAAGCCTACATCATATTCTTTGGATGTAACACCCTGTATATTATATATGTGTTTAATAGAATATCTTATTCCGATTGCAATGATGCAACACACTTTATATTTTATTTTTATTTATTTATTACAAATCGGCAAAAATAGGACATTTTTATACAGTTTCGAAGAGTGCCCTGACTGACAAATAAAAACATGTTTATGTTTGACATATTAATAAACAACGTCGATGGTTCATGTTGGGGTTGCTGACGAAGGACCACCCTGTTTCCAGGGACGAGATTGACGACAATTCGAGTGGATTCTAATTACTGTTTTATTTTTAAGAAACACTTAGAAACGAAGAAAACTTAATAACAAATTCTGTGACGGCTCGCTTTGCTCATCCCGACTTCTCGCCCTCGCCCCGTCTCGCTTCTTTCTTCCGACCGTCTCTGTCCACGTCTCGCAAAGCTCTCTCGGCTCTCGTCGTGCCGCCCCGCAGTCGCACTAGGTTCGCACTGTTAGCCTTGTTGCCGAGTCTTTCACAAAGTCCAACAGTTCAAATATTGTCCAAGTACATTATTGTTAAAATGATTTTCGCGAATTTAGCATCCGTGAAAGGAGTGATATGCTTCAATGCTTCAAATGCTGAATAATAAAAGTGCAATCGCAACTCGTCGTCAGTATATTAGACTTTATCCAGAGCGCCGAGCTCCTTCAAAACAGATATTTCCAAGGCTGGTAAAGAAATTTGCAGAAAACTGTAACGTATTAAATGCTAAAAAGGTATGCCGGAATCATAATATTTTAAATGAAGAAAATAGGGCAAACATATTAGGATTCTATGAAGCACATACAGTTTGCTCTATTACTAGAGTATATGAAGAGACAGGTATTCCTAGGGGATCAATCCACTCAGTTTTCGAATAAAAATATATTGCATTTAAATGTCTTAAAAATCAAAAAACTAAGTGCAGAACAATTTCAAAGGAGGATGCAGTTTTGTTTGGATTTTTTAAATAGACATGATGAAGATAATAATTTTTTGAAAAACATTTTAGGGACGGATGAAAGTTCCTTCGCTACAAGAAAGGTTGGTAATAGATAAAATACGCGATATTGGTGTTTAAATAATCCTAGACAAATACACGAAATAAAAACCCAAAGGTACCAATCAATTAATATGATGTGGTGTCATAGATGGGCATATTTTGAGTCCGATATTTATAGGTCAAAAGTTAAACGGAGATCATTATTTGCAACTCTCGGAAACGTTACTAAATGCAAGACATCATACAATTAGAGTGTATGAGAAATGTGTTCGTGGTCACATACAGCAGTTTTAAAGAATCTTTTACTTAGTGTGTGTTGCCATTTTTGGTGTTTTTGTTTTACTTTAATTTGTAAATAATTATTGTTGTTACAGTCGGTCACGGCGCTTTTTCAAAATATATAAAAAAATCCTATTTTTGCCAATTTGTCCAAAACGAGTGTACTAAAATATAAAGTGTGTTACATCATTGTAATCGGAAAGAGATATTCTAAAGACATGTATAATGTAC